TTCCAGCTCCACCCTCCACCAGGATAACCCTTCACATCTGCCAAGTCCCTTCAGAAAATATCTTCCATTGTCCAACCCATGATCTGACAGCTTGTATCTTAAGCTTTCTTGGCTTCTGTGATTCCAAACACGTCAACTGCTGACATTTTTTTTTCTTTTGACCAGTGTCTCTTAAGTTTAGTTGTACTGAATAATTGATAGAAAGACAATAAATTACTGCAGTTAATAAATAGGAACAGATATGTGTAACTGTTCAAAAGGAAAAGGGGGAGATGGGACTAGGGGGCAGAATAATGGGGGGAATAGTAATTAATTAATCAAACACAAGGTATATGAATTATTGTATAAAACACAATGTATATGAATGATGCACAACATATATGAATGATTGTAAGAAAACCAATTGGAAAAAATTATTGAAGCAGTGCATTGAAGAGAAACTGACAAAAATTCAATCTAGATTCAGAAAAGGATATAAAGAAGGATATCATTGTAACATCAGATGGATCTTGGCTGAAAATAGAAAATACCAGAAAAATTATTAGTTATGTTTTATAGATTATTGAAAAACATTAATCTATGTGGATCAGAACAAATTAAAGAAAAAACTGAGAGGAATGGAAACTTGGATTCACAGTCAACACACTTGGTTCTAGCAGTCAAGAAATCAAAATACATATCACATTGGGAAAATCTGCTGTCAGGGACCTCTCCAAAGTGCTAAGGAGTAATGATGTCAGCTTAACAACTAAGATGCATCTGATCCAAGTCATAGTCTTTTCAATTACTTATTATGCAACTGAAAGTTGGACATTCATTCAAGATGACAGAAGAATCAATGCTTTTGAGTTGTAGTGTTAAAGAAGAGTACCAAATATCTCATGGACTTCCAAGGGAACAAGTAAGTCTATATTGGAGAAAATGCAACCAGGACGCTCTCTGGAGACAATTATGGTGAAACTTAGCCTCACGTATTTGGGGCATGTTATTAGGAGAGTTCAAGCCTTGGATAAGAACATCATGTTTGGAAAGGTGGAGGATCAGGAAAGGAGAACTTCATGAGATGGAATGACATAGTGATTGCAATAATGGGTTCAAGTATTTTGGAGATTGTGAGGTGGCACAATATAAAGTTCAGATCCACTGTTGCAGTGAGTTGCGGGTGACTCAACAGCATGTAACAACAACAAAGACACTGAATAAACAATGTGAGAAGCTCAACTATATGAAGAAGACAACAAAAGGATAGAGGAACATTCTTTGACAATATGCAATATGCAGATGACACAATCTTGCTTTAATAAAGTGAAAACAACTTGAAGCACTTACCAAGAAGATCAGAGCCTTCAGTATGGATTGAATCTCAACATAAAAATCTAACACAACAAGACCAATGAGAAAAAATCATGACAAACAGAGCAGTTGCCAAGGACTTCATTTAGATTGTTGTTGTTAGGTGCCATCAAGTTGAGTATGACTCATAGCAACCCTAATGAACAACAGATCTGAACCCCATCCTATCCTATGCCATCCTGACAGTTCCTGACACACTAGAACCCATTGTGGCAGTCACCTTATCAGTCTTTCTGGTGAGGTCGTCCCTTTGACAACCCTCCACGCTTCCTAGCACCACGTCCCTCTCCAAGGAATATCCCCTCCTAGTAGCATGCCCAAAGTATGTGAGGCAAAGTCTCATCATCCATGTCTCCAAAGAGCACTCCAGTTGCACTCTCTCCAAAACATATTTGTTCATTTGGTAGTCCATGAGATGTTCAGTACTCTTCTCTAACACAACAACTCAAAAGCATCAATGCTACTTCTGTTATCCCTATCCACTGCCCAGCTCTTGGATGCATATTGAATGACCATAAAGACCGTGGCCTGAATCAGATGAAACTTAGTGCTCAAAAAGACATCATTACTCTTCAATAATTTGGAAAGGTCCCTAACTACAGATTTTCCCAGTGCAACGAAGCTCCTTATTTCCAGACTGCTGGTGTCAAGTGTGTTAATTATGGATCTAAGTAAGACGAAGTTGTTGACAGTTTCAATCTTTTCTCCAACTATCATAATGTTGCCTCTTGGTCCAGAGGTAAAAATCTTTGTTTTCATGACATTGAGATGCAACCCATATTGAAGGCTGCATTCACTGATCTTCTGCATAGAAACAATAAAAAAGTTAAAGTGACATATTATAATTAGTATACATATTGTAATGAGACCTTTTTAAGATGATAAAAAGCAAGGATGTCACTTTGAGTAAGGTCCCTGACCGATTAATGAGATTTTAAATGTATGTGAAAGTTGGACAGTGAAAACTAAAGAAGATAGTGCAACAATGAATGAATGGAAACCCAAAATCTCTGTAAATGTTTATGAAAATTAATAAAATAAAGAAAAAAAAAAGAAAGAAGACTAAACGAGAATTGCTACCTTTGAATTTTTGCATTGGTGAAGAATACTGAATATATATGGACTTCGGAAAGTATGAACAAATCTCGCAATGATGGTAAGACTTCATCTCACATGCTTTGCGTATGTTATCAGGAGAAGCCAATTCCCAGAGAAAGGTATTATTCTTGGTAAAGTAAGTTAGAATTTAAAAAAAAATGGAGACTCTACGAGGCTGTAACAACAGGCTCAAGTACAGCACTGATTGTGGGGTTGACACAGGACCAGGCAGTGTTTCATTATACACAGGGTGGTCATTAGCCAGAACCAACTTGATGGTACCTCGTAACTACATCTAATGCTTCCCTGATCATTAGCAGTATTTAGGCTCCATCTAGTTCTGGTCTCAAGGTGAGGGTGGCAATGGTTAATGAAAGACTATTAATTTTGCAGTGCAGTTCCTTCTTTGTTTCCTTCTCTCTCTTTTGTCACAGAGGAATAAAGGTTCAGAGTATATGAGAGACACAAATCACAACTCATGATAACTGGGAAGTAAAACATAAAATTTAAGAATTATAACTAGCCTCACAGGACTTTGGCCCTAAACAACTGTATCATCTGATCCCAGTCAGAATAGCAAAATTTAACAGAACAGCAAGCAACAAATGCTGGTGAGGTTGTGGAGAAAATGGAACCTTATTTATTGTCAGTGTAAGTGTAAAATGGTGCAACCACTGTGAAAGACGGTGTGGCGCTTTCTCAAAAAGTTGAAAATAGAAATACCATTTGACCCAGCAAGTCCACTACTGGGAATATACCCCAAAGAGACCATAACTGCCACCAAAGTAGATATATGCACACCCATGTTTATCGTGGCTTTGTTCACAATAGCAAGGAGTTGGAAACAATGTAAGTGCTCATCAACAAACAAATGGATAGAGACGCTGTGGTATATTCACACAATGGAATACTATGCTGCATTGAAAAAAAAGGAATTCATGTAATATTATACAAAATGGGTGACCCTGGAGGACATTATGTGAAGTAGCTCAGTCAAAAAAGGACAAATACTGCATGGTGCCACTGTTGTAAAGCAGGACTGACCTCGGGGTTGGGAGGAGACTGAGAAGGATGGGTTCAATAATGTATACTGCATTGAAATAGATGAGGGAGAAAACTGTTTAAGAGGGAAAGTCAGGTATTTTTGTTATTGCAGGAGTCCCGAACGAAGGCTGCATAGTGGAGTGGACCTGGGAGGAGGGATTGTAAAACAATGAAAGAATTTTCCAAGAGGGTAGTGTACTATGGGGGAGAGTTGGGAGGGGAGAAAAGTGCAACAATGAATGAATGGAAATTCAAAGTCTCTGTAAATTTTCATTGAAATTAATAATAATTAAAAAAAAAAAAAAGACTATGGCCCTAAATGTCCAAACCAAGAGAAGCAATCCAATATGGCCATTGTTGTTAGGTGCTGTTGAGCTGACTCCAACTCATAGCAATCCTATGAACAACAGATTAAAACCTTGCCTGACCCTGTGCCATGATGTCTCAGGCAGCTGGTGGTATGGTAGGGAAGGCTCCAAGCACACTCGACACCATCCTGCCAAGGTATGTAGGCCCAGCCCAGTTGAAACTAGAGAACTACTGTGCTGTGAAAAAATGTGGGGTAGAAGGAGAGTAGGGGGTATTTAGTCTTCATGCTCCCAGCCCACTGCTCCAGAACCAACATAGTGCTCTTAGGATCACAGTTCCAAACCCAGCATTTCTCACATCACTGCATTCTGAGAAAACTTAGCAATTATTGCTAAAATTCCCACCTCCAAAGCCACCTACCTTGCTTGGTCTTGGGGGGCTGCTGGCCCTCCACTTGGGCCAGGGTCTCCTGGGCCTCATGCTCCCTCCAGCGCCTCAGTTGCTCCTCTCGAATTTTATAGAAAAGAATGTGCTTTTGCACATCACTGAGCTCAGCAAGCAACTCTGGGTCAATGTATGCATCCTGCAGGATTTGTTGCAGCATGGTGCTGCTTCGGATACTTACACCAATCAGCAGCTGCTGGGGAGCCACTCTCACTCCAGAGGCACTTTCAAAGTCCCCTCTCTGTATAGCGTAGTCACTTAACCTCAACTCTTCAGCAGTCACACACATTGATCTCTTCTGCCTAGGACAGCAACAGGGACCAGAAGGAAGCTGTAACCCTCCAGAGGCAGCAGATCAGAAGAAACCTAGCTTAATATGGCAAGTCATCAGATCCTGAGTCCTGGCCCTAGCCAAGACTCTGAGAGAACAGGGTGAGCCAGAGACTCCAGCTCAGCAGGGCAATGCCAAGCCTGCCCTGCCTAGGCCTGCAGGTGTCAAATGATATGTTAGTGGAAGGTAAGAATGACACCAGCTGTATCAATAACACTGCCCTGGCCAGCTGGAAACTGATCTCTCTTCTGCAGATAAGAGGAGGCTTTGTCTACTAATTGTTTATTTTTGAGAAAATTTCAAAAGCCAATGGAGCAGGCTAGCTTCTCTGGGTCTCCAGCTGTTGGCTTCACTTGACCTACTATTTTTCTGTCCTTTTCCAGGACAGTTGGCATGCCTGTGGAAGGAAAGACCGTAATTCCACCTGCTACAATGCAAGGAGAAAAAGAAAAGAAATCTGGGTAAAATTGCATGAGTCTTTTATCATGTAATTAAGAGACATGTTAGGTAGATCTTTTCCTTATAATGGTGTTCTAAATTCATGCAGGTCTTGGCAGACTGACTTGTCCAAACGAAGAGCCACTTTGGTTGTTGTTGCTGTTCTTGTGTGTTTTCAGGTGTTCGGAATGCACCAGAACAAAGAGTAAAACTGCCTCCTTTGGGTACCTTTAATAAATTTCACCTTTCTGCTTGGAGTGGACCCCCATCCTTTTACTGGATGAGGATGAGTAGTTGTTGTCCTTAGAAAACTTGCTTTCCTTTCATTTACACAGGAAATTGGGGTTCAGAGAATGTAAGTGACTGTCCATAGATACCAAAATGGTAAGTCCCTTCACTTGGGCTCCATCTAGTCCTCAAACTTGAATTACACTGATTAAATCTATGGATAATTTGAAACTATCACCTAGTCAGAGATCAGGGAACTTTTGTATATGTAAGTATTTTTCATATATATCTAAATTAATTTGGCCATGTGTTTTGTTGGATTGGTGATCTTCATGACCCCTTCCTTCCCTGTGATAACTGAAGGAGTGGGTCAAACACCCAAAAGATGAGCTGGAATATGAGTGAGCACAAGCTTGCAAAGAATGAACACAAAAGGGGAAGGACTAGCAACGTTATAAAAGCTTTAATCCCACAAGGTCAGAACAAGGTGTGAAAAGCCAGGCTTCCTGACAATAGGTCCAGCTGGCTATCTCAAGATCCCCTGAGATCTACCCGCGTATTTGAGAACTTCAGTACTACTTTCTGTCCCGCAGAGGTATGATCCTGAACTTGCAACCTCCAACCCCTCTTTTTTCTCAATCCCAGCCTTTCACCTTCTCCTGTACTGGAATTTAGTTTGGTTCCTTCTGGATCCTAAGGCCCTAAGCCTTTGCCACAGACATCTCTGCTGCCCTAATGGGTAAGAAATCTCTTGTGGTCAATCCACAGTTTAAAAAGACCAGCTAGCCTCTGAAAACCTGCTGGAGGGTCAGCTATGAGTTGATATTGATTTAACAAAAATGAGTTTTGAGTTTGAAGTTATGACACAACTTCCCCTGGATAAGAGGTCAAAAAGGGGTATTATTACCTCCTTCTTTTTGGGATCCAGACACATACAAGAATACCTCTTATGAACATAGGTGCAAAAATCCTGAATAAAATACCAGCCAATAGAATCCAATGATATATCAAAGAAATAATTCACCATGACCAAGTGGGATTCATAACAGGTATGCAAGGATGGTTCAACATAAGGAAAACAATCAATGTAATTCATCACAATAACAAAGCAAAGAACAAGAACCACATGATCCTATCTATTGATGCAGAAAAGGCCTTTGACAAAATCCAACATCCTTTCCTGATTAAAACACTCAACAAAATAGGATTAGAGGGGAATTTCTGCAACATAGTAAAAAGTATTAATGAAAACCCAAGAGCCAACATTGTTCTCAATGGAGAGAGGTTAAAGGCATTCCAAATTGGCAAAGAGGAGGTAAAATTATCTCTCTATGCAGATGATATGATAGTATACTTAGAAACCCCTAAAGACTCAGCAAGAAAACTACTGGACTTACTTGACCAATTCAGCAAAGTGGCAGAAAACAGGATCAACATAAAAAATCAGTTGGATTTCTCTACGGTGACAAAGAGAATACAGAGCCAGAGCTAAGAAAAACAATACCCTTCACAATAGCTAATCACAAGATTAAATACTTGGGAGTAAATGTAACCAGAAGCACAAAGGATCTATTCAAAGAAGATTACAAAACATTAATAGAAGAAACAAAAAGAAACCTGGAGAAGTGGAAGAATATCCCTTGCTCATGATAGGAAGACTCAATACTGTGAAAATGGCAATACTACCAAAGGCAATTTACATGTTTAATGGAATCCCAATACAAATACCAATCCCATTCTTCAATGATATGGAAAAGGCAAACTCCAGTTTCATTTGGAATGCAAAGAAGCCTTGAATAAGCAAAACACTCCTTAAAAAATAGAAAAAAAGGTAGGAGGCATCTCACTCCCTGATTTCAAATCCTACTACACAGCTGTGGTGGTTAAGACATCATGGTACTGGTACAATGGCAGACACACAGATCAATAGAATAGAACTGGGAACCTGGAAATCAACCCATCTGCCTATGGTCAATTGATTTTTAACAAGGAAATGAAATCAGTTAAAAAATGGTGTTGGCAAAATTGGAAAACTATCTGCAGAAGACTCAAGCAAGATCCACACCTCATGCCATATACAAAAACCAACTCAAGGTGGATCATGGACCTAGGACTAAAACCAACGACTATAAACTTCATTAAAGAAAAGTTTGGAAGAACTCTAGTAGTCCTAATACACAACATAAAAAGTCTTCCAGGTATCCTGAAAAATCTACAACCAGGAGAAGATAAAATAGATGAATGGGACCTTCTAAGAATCAAATCCCTATGCACATCCAAAAACTTCTCCAACAGCATAAAAACGGAAGCCACAGACTGGAAAAAAGTATTTGGCAATGACATGTCAGATAAGGGACTTATACCTAGAATTTATAAAATACATGAGCACCACAACAATACAAATGTAAATAATCCAATTGAAAAATGGGCACAGGACATGAACAGACACTTCACC